CCTCATCTGTAAAATGGAGATAATACCTGTAGCACCTAAGTCTAAGGGTTGTGAGTCTCAAATGAGCTAATGTGTGTAAAGAAAGTACTTTACACAATTTAAAGTGCTATATAAAGAAGCATGGAAAAAGTCAGGATGAGATCTAGGACCAAGGCATATTAATAACAATAGCAGCATTTATATAGTGCCTACTATGCCAGACACTGTACTGAGTACTTTACAAATATTATCTGATTGAACCTTACGACAATTCTGGGAGGTAGGTACTATTATTACCCCAATTTTACAGTTGAAGAAACTGAGGCAAACAGACTTGGGTTACTTGCCCAGAGTCACACAACCAGTTTGAATCCAGATTTTAATTCAGGGCTTCCTGACTCCAGGCCTAAGCCCCTATCCGTTGAGCCACCTAGCTGCCTACTCCATTGTAGGTAGAATGGAGAATGTATAAAGAAGAATAATATGTAGGTAATAAGATTGAAAAGGAAGGCTGGAGCCACATTATGGGAAGTCTTAAATATAAACTTAAGGGAGTTGTATTTTAGTAATTTTATGTAAATAAATTTATGTAATATATAAATATATTATATATTTGTATATAAATAAATTTATGTATAGATAAATTTAAATAATTTTAGTAATGGATTTTAATAATGAAGTAATGATGAGCTACTGGAGATTTTTAAGTGGTTAGTGGCTTATATGTCAGGAAACTCATTCAGAAGATAGTAATATAAAAACAGAAAAGCTAATAAGATAGATAAAGGGTTCTGATCTAAAATTTAAGCTTTCAAAAGTATAGATTTAAACATCTGCATTTTTTAAAATATGTGATTAAAAGTAAGCTTTCATTTTTTAAATTATCTTTTCTGTTTCTTATCATTTGTTTGCTCTTAGGGTGTTTGTCAGCTGTCAAGTGAAGATGAAGAAGTTGCATATCCATATAGAAGAATTGATATCAGGTATTGTTCACAGTCTGTCTCCAAACTACTTGAGCAGGCAGCTAGGTGGCACAGTGGATAGAGCACTGGCCCTGGAGTCAGGAGGACCTGAGTTCAAATCTGGCTTCAGATACTTGACACTTACTAGCTGTGTGACCCTAGGCAAGTCACTTAATCCTACTGCCTAACCAAAAAAAAAAAAAAGACAAACTACTTGAGCAGTTTTTCCTCTGTTTTCTCTTTCTTATCCAGCTCTCTTCTAGTAAATAGACAAACCCTGAACTTTATTTCTACATTCATAGTATGCTTATTTTTTAGTAAAATAACAGTTTTCAAAATACCATATATTCCTTCTGCAGATGTTGTTTAGTATGAAATATATGTAAAGAAGTCTGATTCTAAACTCTGATTTTGGTCATTAAACAAATATTTATTCTGTTCTTTGCAGAGAAGCTGGATATCACGATGGGCTATATCTTACCTCTTTCTTTAGCACCTAAAAAGATTCCTATCTGAAGATCGAAGACTGTTGGGATGAAACATTCAAGGATGTTGCCATTTCACTCTTCCTTTACTTTCAACAGAACATTGGCTCCTGACATCCTGCAGTCACTCTCAGTAGCCCCATTGTGGGTATATTTAAGTTCAGATCCACAAAAGAATTCTTTCTTGGCCAGTTTCATTTTCATGGCACTGTTTTCCTCAGGTTATCTGGCCACCTCGTTAAAGCAGAACATTTTGTGGCCTTGGCATCAGGAGACTGAGGCAGAGCTCCATCTGTCCTGTGAACATTCCCTGTGCCACCATGGGCATATTATTTCACCTCTAAAAATCTCCATTTTCTCCTCTCTAACATGGGCATGATGGGAATGCCTGTCCTACCCACCTGCCTACCTCAGAGGGCTATTAAGGAGCATTGTCAAAGGCTTAAAGCACTGTGTAATATATTTTTCTTATTAACAGCTTTTTAGGTGTTTTTTCACCTTTAATGGTACCTTAAAAATCCTCAAACATACCATATTAGATAAAAAATTTTGTCCATTTTTTTCTGTATTTTTAGATTGATTCCCAAGGATCAGTATTACTGTGGTGTTCTTTACTTCACTGGCAGTGATATTTTCAATAAGAATATGAGGGCCCATGCCCTAGAAATGGGCTTCACAATCAATGAGTATACAATCCGGCCCTTGGGAGTCACTGGTGAGTATTGTTCTTTTGTTGGCAATGATAAATGGGCATTTTGAGTGAAGAAAGTCATTTACAGAGAAATTTTATTCTTACGAACTTTGATCTGTTAGAAAACCTTCCTGTGGTTAATTTTAACAAGGCCCTGTATCAGTATCCTTAGAGGCAGTATTCAGTACTCGTTCCAGGAAACATTCCCATCTCCATCAAAGCATAAAGCCTGTTAAGGTAACCTTTTTAAAAAATAATATTTCCTTTTTCCCCAATTACATGTAAAAACAATTTTTAACATACATTTTTAAAAAATTTTAAGTGCCAAATTCTCTCCCATCCCCTCCCTGAGACAGTAAGTAATTTGATATAGGTTGTACATGTGCAATCGTGCAAAACATTTCCACATTAGTTATGTTGTGAAAGAAGACGTAGGGAAACCCTCCCCCCCAAAAAAAAACTCACGAAAAAAATAAAGTGAAAAATAGTATGTTTTGATCTGTATTCAGACTCCATCAGTTTTTCCTCTGGATGTGGATAGCATTCTTCATCATCCAAATCCTTTGGAATTGTCTTGGACCATTGTATTGCAGAGAAAATACCTAAGTCATTCACGGTTGATCATCTTACAACATTGCTGTTACTTTGTACAATGTTCTCCAAGTTCTGCTCACTTCACTTTGCATCAGTTCATAGAAGTCTTTCCAGGTTTTTCTGAAATCATCTTGTGCATCATTTCTTACAACACAATAGTATTCCATTACAATCATAAACCATAACTTGTTCAACCATTCCCCAATTGATGGCATTCCCTTAATTTCTAATTCTTTGCCACCACGAAAAGAGCTACTATAAATAGTTTTGTACAAATAGGTCCTTTCCCTCTTTTTTTTTTATCTCTTTGGGATACAAACCCAGTAGTAGAATTGCTGGATCAGAGGGTATGCACAATTTATAGCCCTTTGGGCATAGTTCCAAATGACTCTCCAGAATGATTGGATCAGTTCACAGCTGCACCAACAGTTCATTAGTGCAATTTTCCCACATCTCCTCCAACATTTATCTTTTTCCTTTTCTTTCATTATAGCCAATCTGACAGGTATGTGGTGGTACCTTAGGGTTGTTTTAATTTGCATTTCTCTAATCAATAATGATTTAGAGCATGTTTTTAAAATGACTATAGGTAGCTTTGATTTCTTCTTCTGAAAACTGCCTGTTCATATTCTTTGACCATTTATCAATTGGGGAATGACTTGTATTCTTATAAATTTGATTCAACTCTTTATATATTTGAGAAATGAGACTTTTATCAGAGATACTTACTGTAAAAATTCTTTTCCAGTTTTCTTCTTCTCTTCTAATCTGGCTGCATTGATTTTGTTTGTGCAAAACCTTTTTAATTTGATATAATCAGAATTATCCATTTTACATCCCATAACGCTCTGTCTCCTGTTTGGTCACAAATTCTTCCCTTTTTTTTTTTCCTTTCTTTTTTTTTTCCCCACTTTTAGGCAATTGGGCTTAAGTGACTTGCCCAGGATCACACAGCTAGTACATGTCAGGTGTTTGGTCTGAGGCCGGATTTGAACTCAGGTCCTCCTGACTTCAGGGCCCGTGCTCTATCCACTGTGCCACCTAGCTGCCCGAATTCTTCCCTTTTCAAGATAACTTTTTTAACACTTGCAAATTACCTACTTTTTTCCTGTCAATTTACATTGCAATTTACATTACATTTACAAACATTTATTAAGAACCTACTCTGCAAAGTACTATAGATATAGAGTTAGAAACAGAAAAATGAAAATAGTCCTGTTTTTCAGGAGTCTCCCAAGAGTCTATATTCTGATAGGGTATTTGACATAGATACAAATAAAAAAAATACAAGAAAATCTGAAGAGAGAAAAAGCATTTAGAACTAGGAAATCAGGAAAGGTTTATTGTAGGAAGCTGCACCTGACCTGAATCTTAAACTCAGACTTCTCAGAGGGATTGTCAGAGGAGAATGCATTCCAAGCAAGGGGATCAACCTGTAGAAAGTCACAGAGGCAAGAGAGAAGTGCTGAGTTTGGGGAACAGCAAGGAGGCCATTTAACTTGAACACAATGTGTGTGAAAAGATATATTGTGAAATAAGTCCGGAGCTAGGCTGGAGCCATATTGTGAAGGGCTTTAAAGGCCTGAGGAGTTTTGGTTTTTTGTTGGGTTTTTTTTTGTTTTATTCTTTTTTTTTTTAATTTTATTAATTTATTTTGATTTATCAACAATCACTTCCATATGCTTTTGAGTTGAGGAGTTTTTATTTTAGCCCAAAGGCAAATAGAAAGCCACTGAAGATTGAATAAGGGAGTGACTCCATCAGATCTGTGTCTTAGGAATTTGGTAGCTATGTATAGGATGTGTAAGATGGCCTAAGACCAGATGCTGTTGCAGTTTCCAGATAAGAGGTGATGAGGGAGGGACTTAGCAAGGGTAGAGGCTGTGTGAATGAAGATAAGGGGACAGATGAGAGAGATTAATCAAGAGGCATTTATTTATGTGTCGGGCATTGGGCATACATGTACAAAGAATGAAACAATTTCTCCTCTCAAGTAGCTTACATTCTAACATGTCAATACTTGGCAACTGATTGGATGTGAGGGATGAATGAAAGTGAGCCATGGGAATTAAGCCCCAAATCTAAACTCTAGAAATCTTTTTCCTCTTCCATTTTACAGGAGTTGCTGGAGAACCCCTCCCAGTCGACAGTGAGAAAGACATCTTTGACTATATCCAGTGGAAATACCGAGAACCCAAGGACAGAAGCGAGTGATGCCTTTGTCAATGCCAAGAACCACCACACGGCAGTCTTTATTTCTTGAACTTTACTGTGTAAGGGTCCTTATTGTTTATAAATAATAGCTTCCTTTTCACTCTCTAGCCTTGTAATCATTAAACTATCCGGCACAATCAAGTGGTATTATTCTTATTTAATTAGCAAATAGATCAATTTAAGTATACATATTTTATTCAGCTTTATTCTTTATGAAGAGTTTAAGATAAATATTATGAGGAGAGAAAAGGAAAACTGGTTGATCTCTGCAAGAGACTTTACTCTGCCACTTTTTGCCCCACTTAAGGATTTTTCAGTGTTTCTTCCTAGATCCTGTCTGTACTTCAGTCAGATATGTTGTGCCTGGGCTTCAGGAAACAATGGCTTATTCTTCTAGAAATTAGGGTTTTGGTTTTTTTAGCTCCATTTCATTCTTCTGTTATTCTCATATTTTAGTCATAACTAATACTTGTGACCCAAACAGCTGCAATTTCCCTTGAAAAGAAACTGGCACTAGTAAATTGGCTTCTAAATCAAACTAGTTCATCTTTCTGTGTTTACCCACTAAATTATGTCCTCTTCACTTTTTCTTGGCATTATCATTCAGATGTTATGGATAAAGATCAGAAGTATGAACACCATGTTTTTTGAGGTGAAATGTGTATTTTCAGTTCTAGAATTCCTTGGGAGTTATAATTCTATAACACAAAAATAAGTCATCTGCTAAGCAAAACTTTTTTTCTAATACTGTATTTAATTTAAACTGTCATATAATTTCACCTATACATGACGATATGGCATTTGTGTGTTAGTGGATGAGAAATCAGTATCAAAACAGCAGGTGTTTGGTTTACCAATATTTGTGAGGGTTATTTTCATTGTAAGTCTGCAGGAATTGATTTACTACTGCCTTCAAACCCCCTTACTTTTCTTCCGTATCTGTCAAGAAACCACTTAATGGTTTGTTATTAATTGAGTCACCAGGTTAAAACTACATTTTTTTGTTTTCAGGGACCTCAGTTTTCATGTACATTGAAGAACACAGACAAAGAACCAGCTCCTTTTCCACCATGGTTTACAGTAGTAGTTTCAAAGTATCAGATAGTCTAGCTTTAACTTACTTCAAGTGTTGCATGATCCTATTACAATATTAAAGGCTTTAAGAATCAGTTTGAGTTTTGTGTTTCCAAAGATTCCAAGTATTTGGAGACTAGATTTTTTGGCAGACTCTTAAACGTGAATGTTTTCGAGGCCCAGTACTTTGACTTCGGCAAAACAGTCCAGGACCACAGTCACAACGCTGGAAAATTTCTGGAGCTTGAGCACCATCTTTTTGGCCACGTCTAGAACAAACTTGCCCCTCCAGGAGGACTGGCTTACAAATTTTTGTCCAAAAATGACGAGCACAGCAAAGTCCAGGATTGCAGTCAAAAGTTCGTAGACAACTTTCGCCTTCTTGCCCTGTAGAAAAATCAAGATAGGTTTTTTAGTAACACTACACTTGTATCAGTAGATGGTGTTGGTTGTTGTTTAGTAGTTTTTCAATCATGTCTAACTCTTCACGACTCCATTTGGGGTTTCCTTGGCAAAGATACTAGAGCAGTTTGCCATTTCCTTCTCCAGCTCATTTGACAGATGAGGAAACTGGGGCAGAGTTAAGTGACTTGCCCAGGGTCACACAGCTAGTAAGTGTCTGGAGCCAAATTTGAACTCAGAAAGATGAGTCTTCCTGACTTCAGACTTCCATCTGCTGTGCCACCTAGCTGTCCTGAAATTAATATTATCTATGCTTCAGTGATTTTTATGTATCTTGTTAAACATTTCCCAATTACATTTTAATCTGATTCTCTTTGGGAGTTTTGCAGACCACAGTGTTTACAGCACTGGTTTAGGACACGGACACACACACACACGATGGCCGGTAAAGTCCCCACATTCAAATTATATGATGCTTTAAGTTTCCATGGGATTGGAAGTTAGACTTTATATTGAAACTAGAATTAAGCTTTCATACCTAAGAATTGCCATGAAAGTAGCTTTAGTAATGAAGCTTTATGTTTACTATTTTAGAGAGGAAAATTATTGCTATCAGAATTTATATTCTGATCATGGAGTTATCTCTGAATTCTGTGGAACAGTTAAGGAACTTCTAGTATATATTATAAATTAAAACAGTGAAACATCTAGAAAATTTCACTTAACTTGATAAGGTTTGTTTTTCTACAAATATAAAGAATACAGTTCTTTTACTAATGCAGTCTGAGGATCAAAAGATGTAACCTGGTGGGTTCTCTCATCAATGAATAATTTGTGATTAGTATTCATGTTGTACTGCACTGGTTTCTGCTATTCTTATTTCATGTTCCCTATCCCCTTTACCCTAAATTTGTTCTTTACCCTCTATCTCTCCTAACACTGAGCCTCCTGCTTTGCAGCAGAACTAAATTAGAAGGCAGAAGACAGGTTTTGTTTCATCTAGTACCTTAACCCCAGAAGCCTAGAGGAAAAAAGGAAATCATTTTACTGTGTTAATGGTGTTTCCTTACCTTTGCTGCCTTGGGCTTTGTTAATGTCGGGCTTCTTTTTGGGTTTGCTTTCTTGAATTGGATGCTGGGTTGTCACCTTGGAATCCAAGCCTTCTTGGCCATCATTTCTCTCCAGGATTGGGCTTGTCTCCTCAATGAGTGTACAAACATCTGAGGGACAGTCATTCAAGGCTCGAGTTACTACATTTTGGGGGGCATATCATAGTATGCTTTGGCAGCACCTGTGTTTTCTATTTCTGTTATTTTAAATACTTGTTGCATGTTTCATTACTTTAAAGAACCATGATTTCATCATTGTTAGTACTCCTTCTAATGATATAGAACGTAATCCAGATAGTATTGAACTGCTTTGGCTAAAAAAAATCAATTGCCTGGTGGTTTGTTATTTATTTTGTATTACCTAGGTAGTATGTAATGTCCTTGAGAACCGAGACTATTTGTTTTTATCTTTATTTCCCCAGTTCATGGTAGGTGTTTTAATAAATGCCTATTGAATTCACACACACACCAGTTTATCCAGTACATGCTTTTAAGCCTTTCCAGTTTGATAAAGGACCTGCTTGTGGTCTGTTAGCATAACCTGCAAAAACCCAGGGTCACTTCCATACCGTGATGAAGACTAGAGGATAACTTTAGTGGAAGATTTTTTACATGTCCCAGAAAGTTAAAGTTGGTTTAAGAGGGAAACGTATGAAGTATGTATCATGGGAAAAAGGAATAATTACAATATATAATATTCAATTTTGGATTATTTTAAGGAACAAATTCTTAACACAAATAAAACTAAGAATAACTCATTAAGAAATGTTTAAGTTAAGGAAGTGTAAGTTAAGGTGAAAATTATAAGAAACCTAAAACTTTTAGAGGAGCCTTTTAAGTGTTCTTGGGTATATGGTATACATGTGCAGTGGCTTTTAAGGGCCATATCCAATTTAATGCACTGCCTGGGTTCATGATGGCTTACCATTGACACAGAGAGTCCCTGGACAACACATGCCATTACGCTGGCATCGTTTCCGTAACCCCCGGCACATTGCACAGAATGGCTTTTCATCTCTGGATTTGAGGCAGAATTTTTTGGAACCACAATCCTTGTCATTCAAGCACTGTGAAGAACCCTGTGAAGTAAGAATACTTCCATTAAATAGAAAATACAGAGCAAGAAAACCCACCAGTATTTCAAATATCTCAAAGGACTTGGAGCAGAAGAGACTAGAGATTATCCAGTAATCTCCAAAGTGAGGGATACCATCCCGGGGGCCACAATCCAGGGGGGGCCATAGTGGCTGTGGGTACAATTGTACTCTTAATCTGAGACTTCTTTCCTAATTTGTAAGATTTTTAAGGAGGCACTGAATAATTTTTGTTTTGAAAGGGGGCAAAAGACTAAATAAGTTTGGGAACCTCTGATCCAACCCTCCTCATTTTACAAATTAGGGAACTGAGACCTTGAGAAGCAAAGCCAGGATAAAAGTTAAATGCCTACATTTTAAAATTCACCCAACAAGCATTTATTAAGCAACTATTATATGCCAGCTTCATTCCCAGAGTCCACATTTGGCTTTTTAAGATCATCAAATTTCATGCCATTATGGTATTTACCTTTACTGTAGCAACTTCCACCATTCATGGAATTGTCATTTGCTCTTTGTGAACCTTCCTGAAAATTTAGCGTTCTGGCTTTGTGGCAGTGCCTTCACACATAACAAAGGATGCCAACAAACAAAATGAATTTATGTTCTTTATCCTTAAAATAACATTTTAAGTACTGCATATTCCGTGGTTTTCTTTCCAAGAGCTTTTAGGTTTATTATTGAAATGAGTCTCAGCATCTCATTGTTCAGTGGCATTAGATTATTAGCTTCACTTTATGTGTGGAAAAACAGACACAAGTTTCACTGTGTATATATAACAGAGTGAAGGCAACATATTTTATTACTATTCCTATTGCCTGTGCCAAAGCCCCCTCCCTTCCAGGTAAGAGACTGTTACCTATGGATTTTAATGATTTCATTATAAAGTCTGGAACTTCACCAATGAGACAAACAGCATACCCGATTATGAGCATTCATCCCCAGCACAAATTTTACCTTCCGAGGGTCTTGTACCTCAGCAGAACTCTTGATGGTATTAGAATCCAGAACCAAGGCTCCCAGGGGAGAGCACAAATAACTTAGTCCCAGCAAGAAAACTACCACCATTCTTCAGGTATGCAGATCCCAGTGTTTGCTATTCTTAGGAGACTTGCTTGCAGATTTCACTCACTACCTGCCTCTCTGCACGTGCTCCTGCAAACTAGTAATTAGTTTTGCCAAGATATAAAAATATAAAGTCTTGCAAAGCTTCCTCTGCAATAGAGAATTTCAGGGCTAAGTAATGAGTGTGAAATGTGATGAATGAAACCTGACCAGTAGGCTCCTTCCTGGAGTATTTATAGCCAGATGTGCCCATTTCTCTCATCCTCCCCCCCCCAACATTTCCTTCCTCTTTAGCCCACACAGGCTTCAACAAATCCCTTCAAATCTGTTTGATCAATAGTTCAAAACAAGGACTCAATAGAGTGAGAGAGGAGGCAGGGCTGCAGCAGCTTCTTCTCCTCCTGGGGCTGAATCCCTCCTAATTATTGCATATCAAAGTGAGTTCAAAGGGCTCAGAGAGGAGCAGGATGTCTGTATCAAAGGCAAACTCTGATAATCACCTGCATTTCCTACCTTCAATAATCCTTTGCAAAAAAAGAGTCTAAGATCTGTTTTCACAGCTAATTGTGCTCAAAGAAAGAATGAATCATATTGGCCTGTGTTGGAGAGAGGATGCCAAAAATTAACGAGTTACAAAATATACTGAGAATCATTAAACTGTGCCTCAAATAGTGAAAAAGGTAAAAAACACTTTCTGATTATCTCTATCATCCAGATATAAAAAATCCTACCAGCTTAAAAGCAGCTGCCAAAATAACACCTGTTTTAACTAAATATCAATTTGGAAAGAAAGTACAATGGTCCTTAAATGAAAAAAAAATTGTTTGAAGTTGAGGTTAATTCAGAAAATGACGAGTTTCATAAAAAATCTTTTTCTGATTTTATAGATGTTAGCAAAAAGTGCATTTTTTACTGAGTTTCACACCACATTTGAAAGAACTAGCAAAAAGCTATTGGTTCATTTTATCTGTGATGTAATTTATATCATATTCTCTCAAATTGAATTAAATGGAAGCAGACTTCTTATGGTAGCTGATTTCTTAAGTTATTATCCTGACCCATTTCCAAACTTCCTAATTAAAAATTACTTTGCTCCAGCTCCAGGTCCTTCCTATCAGATTGTTTTTCAGTCAGAACTATTGAGAAGACAGGTCAAATGTCTTAAGTAATTTAAGACTGGAGTCTAAAGGGAGAACAACAAAATTGCTACTTTCCCTCTTCATTTTCTTTTTTTTTTTCCAGTTTAAATTCATTCCAGTATTTCAGATGTGAGGTGTTTCTAACTGAATTCAGCCTTTGTCACATTTTCACTTATGGCTTATCATGATTTAAAGTGTTTCCAGAAAGCTTTTGCAATATAGCAATCTGTTGCAATTTATCTAAATATTCCTTTACAAGTCTGAGATCTCTCCATTTTGAAGTTCACTGTAGATTATGACCAATATAAAACTGGCTTACACAGGTTGCCTTATAACCCAAGTCTTAACTTTATGGCTCTATTTCTCTCTTTCAACAGCTTTACTGGATTACTAACTGCTTATATAGTATAATGGTAGCTATTTATGCTAGCTAACACCACTCCCCCAATTGGAGAAAATGAACTTTGTTAGGATAGTAAGGATATGGCTGGAGTGTACTTTATGGTTATTTTGATGCTAGCCAATCATTACAGAGAGTAATAAGGAAAGCTCCGCCGCCGCCGCCGCCCCCCCCTCCCCCAGGCTTCCTCTCTTTCATTCATTCATTTAATATTTACTGATTACCTACTGTGTGTAAGTTCTTGTGCTAAGCACTGAAAGGACTTTAAAGATAAGTAAAAACGGTCCCTTTCCTCAAAGAGTTGATGCTAAAAGAGGAGATGAAATTTGTATGAATAAATATGGTACAAAGGCCAGAAAAGTGCCTATGAAAAGTGTAAGTGCTATATGAACTCTGGTTGGGAGAAGAGGGAAGGCTTCATAGAGGCAGAGGCATTTGAGAAAAATCTTGAAGGATGGATATAAAATCAACAGTTAGTGATGGGTGGAGGTAATCTAGATATACAATACATTGCAGAGGCATGGAGGAAAAGAAGCACAGGCTCTACTAGAAAACAGTGAGTAGTCAGGTTTAGTTGAAATGCAGAGGATATGAGTAGTATAAGATAAGGTAGGTTTGTGAAGATTGTGAGGAGACTCAAAAAGCAAGATAAAGATTGTAGGATCATCGATTTAGTACTAGAAACTAAGGCCCAAAGGTGTTTTTGATTTGCCCAAAATTGCATAGGTTACAGTAATGAGCAGAATTAGTACTTAAATTCAGTCATTAATTAGGGAGTCATTGAAGGTTTTTGAGCAGGAAAGTGAGGTGATTAGGCCATAGAGTAAAGGATGAATTAGTCGTGGGAGGGACTAGAAGTAGTGAAACTAACTAGGAGGCTTATTGCAATAACCCAGGCACAGACTAAGATGGTGGCAACAGGAATGGAAAGGAGGAAACTAGGAGACATCAAGATCTATGGAGGTAGACAGCTATATAGAGCACTGGCCTGGGAGTCAGATGGGTTCTAGTCACATGTCTGTCACCAACAAGCTGAGCATTAAAGAATCACAGAGGTCCACACAGGTGGGACCAAAGAGACCTTAAAAATCATCTACTCCAATGCTCTCCTTTTTATGGATGAAGAAAGAGTCAAGTTATGGTCTAGAAGAGTTAAGTGGCTTGCTCACAGCCACATCTGGTTAGTGGCAATGACTAGAAATAGAAGATACATCTCTAGGCTTCAATTGTCCAAGTGGAAAATCAGTTTGGACTACATAATTTCTAAAACTTCACTTCACATCTAACATCATTCTACAATTCCAGTTCTACAATTCTCCTTGGATGCCTCCTCCTGATCTGGAGGTGGTCTTGGTTTTCCAAAGGCTAATCTAGCATTATGTAAATTTCTACAGTTCTAAGGACGCAAGAAATACTGTGAAGGTCAAGCCAAAAGAAACTGGCAAATAATTAGATGGGCATTACTAGATGACCCTTTTTTGGCTAGGCAATGGGGTTAAGTGACTTACCCAGAGTCATACAGCTAGTCAGTGTTATATGGCTGCATTTGAACTCAGGTCCTTCTGACTCTATCCCCTGCACCACCTAGCTACCCCAATCATGGATCCTTTGGAATTAGCTTGGATCATTGTCTTGATCAGAGCAGCTAGGTCTTTCACAGTTGATCATTCTTACAATATTGCTGTTACTGATGATGAACAAGATCCATTCAGAAAAACCTGGGAAAACGTATACGGACTGATGCAAAGTGAAGCAAGTAGAACCAGGAGAACATTGAACACAGTAACAATCAAACACTTGACACTTACTAGCTGTGTGACCCTGGGCAAGTCACTTAACCCCAATTGACAAAGCAAAAAAAAAAAAGGACCCATGATGAAAAATACTATCCACCTCCAGAGAGAGAATTAATAAACTCTAAGTGAAGGTTGAAGAATACTTTTTTAAACTTTATTTTTCTTGTTTTCTTGTGTGTGTGTGTGTGTGTGTGTGTGTGTGTGTGTGTGTATGTTTTCTTTTGCAACATGGTTAGCATGAAAATGTTTTGTATGATTTCACATGTATAATCCATATTATATTGCTTGCCTTCTCAAGGAGTGGGGCAGGGGCAGAAGGAGAGAGAGAATTTGGAATTCAAAATTTTAAAATGAATGTTAAAATTTTTATATGTAATTGGAAAATATTTAATGAAATAAGATATATTTAAAATAATTAGATAGGGCGAGGATATGGGATTAGCAATGAGCTAGGGAGGAATTTTTTTAATGACATTTTTGAAGCCTAGATTAGTAAAATGGTATCATTACCAGGGATATGCTAGAGCCAGCTTAAACTTGCAAAAGCCAGTTATTAAATTTTCAGCATCAACATTTGTACCTTGGAAATCAGGGTTTGATTTTTTTGTTTTGTTGATTGTCAAAAGGCTGCACCTGAGGACCTAGAAGGCCATGGTGTGGCCTCGAGGCCATAGGTTCCCCACCCCTGACTGGACCCTTCTTACATTTCCAGTCTTCTTGCACTTGATTCCCTTTCATACAATTTACACTCCAGCAGCTCGGGACCCTCCCTATTCCTTGCACATGCCACTCCGTTTCCCTACTCTGCCTTTCACTGACTTACCTAGAATGTTCCAGGCCCCGTGCTTAGCCCGTTCTCCCTCTTACTCTCAGCTTCCTGGTTTACTTCAAGCTTAAATCCCACCTTCTGCAACAGGATTCAATTTAGTGCCTTCCTTCTGAGATTACCTCCAATTTACCCTGTATATATCTTTGATGCAAATAATTGTTTGTGAGTCATCTCCCTCATTAGACTACAAGCTCCTTGAGACTAGGGCCTATTTTTTGCTGTGTTATGTTTTAACATATCTATCACATAGTACATGGAACATAGTAAGCACTCAATAAATGTTTCTGCATCAGTCCATATATGTTCCTATGCCCCTCTGTATTCTTCAAGTTCATCACTTCTTGTTCAATAACATTCCATCACATTCACATACCACAATTTGTTTAGCCTTTCTCCGCTTAACAAACATTTACTTTGATTCCAGTTCTTTGCTACTACAAAAGATTCCACTTTAAATATTTTGGTGTCTATGACCTATGTCTACCATTATCTACCTTTGATCTCCTTGAAATCTATGTCTAGCATTGGGTTCTCTCAGTTAAAGGATAGGGACATTTTTTGTCACTTTCTTAACCACAATATTTATCCAGTGCTTATCAGTTATCAAGGATTTGATCATTCCCACCTGATTGTTTTCCTGGATTTCATGATCTCTAGAAACTCATGCAAGATAAAATCAGTTCCATAACTCACACCTCTCAGATCTTCTCACCCTGGCTGCAGGAATTCATCATGCCCCCATTCCTGGTACCTCCTCACCTTTTCCAGATTCTTTTTCTATATTTTCTTCCCCCATTAGAATGTGAGCTCCTCGAGAGCAAGGACTGTCTTTTGCCTTTCTTTGTGTCTCCAGTACTTAGCACAACGTCTGGCATACAGTAGGCAATTAATAAATGTTTATTGACTCTGATTCTGATTTATTGAATATCTACTAGAGAAGTAAAAGCCTCTGCTTCTTTTATTTCTGGTGCTTTCCTAAAAGGAGTATAATTTTGCTCTCCTGGTCACTAAGAAGCATGAGGATAAAACTAGGAAAGAATGGGCCTCCTCTGCTCAAAAATTGTTAATGGCTTTGTATTGCCTAATGAGTCAAATTCAGACTCCTTTGCCTAGTATTGAAGATCCTCCTCAACCTTGCGCCAGCTGACTTTTCTAGCCTTATCTCATGGTATTACCTTCCATGGATTCTACATTCCATGAACTACCGACCCTAGACACATACCACACTGGGCCTTTGAATTATAGGTTCCCTACACCCATAATGCTCTTCCCCAACCCTCTCTATCCTCCTCAAATGCCACCCCCTCTATGAAGCTTTTTCTGACAACTCCATTCCAAGCAATAATGACCCCTCTTCACCCTTTCACCTCAAAAAAACCATCTCATATGTATTTATTACTTTTCATTACAGTTATGTCACCACATGACATATGACATCTATTCCTATTATATTGTGAACTTCATGATAGGCTCTGTTTTAATTCTTCCATCTCTCCAGAGCCTAGCACAATGTTCTGTATATAGTAGGAATGGAGATAGGGACCAGACCTATGATGTATAGCTCCTTTCTCTTCTCTACCCTGCCCCTCAAATTGATCTGCCTGAGTTATCTCAAAAGGGCAGCTAGGTGGCACAGTGGAAGGAACATCAGACTCCTCTTCCTGAGTTCAAATCCAGCCTCAGACACTTACTGGCTGTGTGACCCTGGGCAAGTCACTTAACCTGTTTGCTTCAGTTTCCTCATCTGTAAAATGAGTTGGAGAAAGAAATGGCAAAACCATTCCTGTATCTCTGCCAAAAAAAACCCCAAATGGGATCACAAAGAATCACACGGGAGTGAAAAATGACTCAATGACAAGTTATTTCATTTAAAAAAATTGTCTCCTAATAAGAAAAAGTTATTTTGAAAAGAATTCATTCCACAAAGGACTCCCTGAAAAACTTCTTTTGGAATAAGGAGACTATTTCTTTGAGAAGGCTTTTTCGTGAACTCTGCCTACTATGTCACCATTACTAACTAAAGAACCCCACCCCCACCCCCGTGCCTGTAGGAAAACCATAATCTAGGATCTCAATTACTAGAGCATTAAAGGGGGGGCGGGGCAGAGAGGAAGAGGAAAGGGGGGGGGGAGACTGTGAAAGGTTTAAAAATGTTCATTTCTACCTGAAAAGTATTTTCCATAGTGGATAGTTTCAGGCTACTAAAGTTCACAGTTCTCACTCCAACAGTAAAATGCTGTAGAACGTGCACAGACGGCTCCCCTACGTTAGCAATACCTTAAAGCCAAGAGGACAACGAGGCTGCCCTTAGAACGTAGCTTCCATTCACAAAGACACCCAGACCTGGTAGAACAAAGGCAGAAACCCAATCCACAC